CCGGCTTTTCATCCCGAGTCGTTTTTTGACAGTCCCGAGGCTGGGCCGCATAGACGCCGCGCTCGGGGACCACCCCCTGCGCACCCCCTATGGTGTCGAGAAACCGCCACGCCTGCTATGCCCTGCGCCATGGCCCGCATAGACGCCGCGCTCGGGGACCACCCCTTGCGCACCCCCTTATGGTGTTGAGAAAGCGCCACGCCTGCTATGCCCTGCGCCATGGCCCGCATAGACGCCGCGCTCGGGGACCATCCCCTGCGCACCCCCCTATGGTGTCGAGAAAGCGCCACGCCTGCTATGCCCTGCGCCATGGCCCGCATAGGCGCCGCGCTCGGGGACCACCCCTTTCGCACCCCCTACGGTGTCGAGAAAGTGCCACGCCTGCTATGCCTTGCGCCATGGCCCGCGTAGACGCCGCGCTCGGGGACCACCCCTCTGCGCACCCCCTATGGTGTCGAGAAAGCGCCACGCCTGCGCCATGGCCCGCATAGACGCCGCGCTCGGGGACCACCCCCTGCGCACCTGCTATGGCGTCGAGAAAGCGCCACGCCTGCTATGCCCTGCGCCATGGCCCGCATAGACGCCGCGCTCGGGGACCACCCCATGCGCACCCCCCTATGGTGTCGAGAAGGCGCCACGCCTGCTATGCCCTGCGCCATGGCCCACATAGACGCCGCGTTCGGGGACCACCCCTTTCGCACCCCCTACGGTGTCGAGAAAGTGCCACGCCTGCTATGCCCTGCGCCATGGCCCACATAGACGCCGCGTTCGGGGACCACCCCTTTCGCACCCCCTACGGTGTCGAGAAAGTGCCACGCCTGCTATGCCCTGCGCCATGGCCCACCTGCGCGGCCGTATCGGGACGCGTGCCTCATGTGTGTGCCCTGTACGTACGCATACGTCGTGTGTCTGTGTGCGCGTGAGGAGAGGGAGAAAGAGAGGGAGGCGGGTGGAAGACGCGGGTGCGACGCGGCAGAGAAGAAAACCATGACCCCACGAAATATGTGGGAAACAAGAACCTCACGAAACATGTGGGGAACAAACTATGAATGCCGGCAAATTTCCATTGGCCATCGCCGAACTTCTCCCGCCATTTGTTTTGTTGTGGGTTTTGGTCGCAATTCGGCGAGATGCTCGAAAACGTCCAAACCGCCCAGGCCTTCATCGTGCCTGGCGCAACTCCTCCTCCTCGTCCTCCTCCTCCTCCTCCTCCTCCTCCTCCTCCTCCTCCTCCTCCAACTATCTTTCTCCTTCTCCTCCTCCTCGCCTCCTCCTCGCCTCCTCCTCTTCCTCCTCCACCTCCTCTGCCTCCTCTTCGCCTCCTCCTCATCTTCGCGCTCCTCACTCCTCCTCGTTTCGCTCGACATGGCAGGCGGGCGACTTATCCACCTTTTTTTTGCACGCGGGCTCCGTGGCTCTGCCGGCGACTCAGTCTGGGCCGAGGGGTCGCCCGCGGAGAAAGCGACCTTGCGTCAACGCCACACCAGGCGCTCACGGAGAATCTTTGCCCCCCGCGGGCTCAGGCCAGCGCGGCTCTGCCAGCGACTCAGTCTGGGCCGAGGGGCCGCCCGCGGAGAAAGCGACTTTGCGTCAACGCCACACTGGGCGCTCACGGAGAATCTTTATCCCCCGTGACTCGGGCGTGGCTTTAAGGGGGGGTCACAAACGGGGGGGTCAGAAAAGGTCCCCTTTCGTGCCCCTTTCGGGCCCCTCCAGAGCCCCAGGGGGCTCGTTTAGGTACCGTTTGGGTACCTTTTCGGACCACCCTCGCCATCCCCCCATTTATGACCCCCCCCATTACGCGGCGCCCAAGTGACTCCAGGCCGGCGCGGCGCCGGGCAGCCCGCGGGCTCAGCGGAGGTGCCGGCGGTGGCGGTGCTGCGGCTTGGCGGCGCCAGCAGCCGCGGCCCACGCCGTGCCCACACCTGTTGTCGCCGCGGCGTGGGCCTCCACCTCCTCCTCCTCCTCCTCCTCCTCCTCCTCCTCCTCCTCCTCTTCCTCCTCCTCCTCCTCCTCCCCTCCCCCTCCCCCTCCTCCTCTCCTCCTCTCCTCCCTCCTCTTCTTCCCTCCTGTTCCTCCTGTTCCTCCTCCTCCTCCTCCCGCTGCTTTTCTTCCTGCTCCTCCTCGTCCTTGATTACCCCTTATCCAGATGAACATCTTGTCCCTGCCGCACTCCCAGGCGTGTCGGTCGGGCGGACCAGGCGTTTCGCCGGAGACTTCCTCACCATGTATGATCCTGGAGCTTAACAGTTTCACGGATGGAGGGCGGATCCTCTTCAACTCGTGGTCCTTGCCTCAACGCCGCGCGCACTCGTTTAACATGTTGCAGCTGATTCCCTTGTAGAGGGCGGGCCCTTTTCAGAATTAGATCTCGCCAAGGCGCCGCACACATTCGTGTTAAAAACTTGCAACAGCTTCAAGGATGGAGGATCGGTGGTTTTCAACTTGTGGGTTTCGCCTTAGCGCCGCGCGCTTTCGTCTGAAAGTTCGCAGCAGCGTCAAGGATGGAGTGCGGCTCGTTTTCAAAATGTGGCTCTGGCCTTAACGCCGCGCACATTCGTCTTAAGCTGTCGAGATAATTTCAGGGACTCGGACGGTTGAAGTCTCAGGGATAGTGTCCGATCACTAATGTTGAGGATGCCAGTGCGTAACAGTCACGCTGATTCGCAATATTGAAATCCCAGGAACGGTGTTCTGGCACGGCTTACGATTGCCAAGACAAAACAGTCACCTTGATCCACGGCACTGAAGTGGTAGGAGTCGTGTTTTAACGCGATTGACGATTCTCGGACGGTCGTCTTCTAATGACCATGGGCCAACTCCCGCCATGAATCGGGCCCAACAAAACAATGAGCTTGGAGGGAGGATGTATTGCAACATCGTTGATGCGCCATGGATTTGCGTACACTGGTCCTCCTCCCCCTTCTACTCCTCTTCCTCCTCGTCCTCCTCCCCCTCCTCCTCTTCCTCCTCGTCCTCCTCCTCCTCCTCCTCCTCCTCCTCCTCCTCCCACTCCCCCTGCTCCCTCCGCGCTTTTGGGGGCTCGGGCGCCCCGGTCCCTGGCTGCCGCGAGGCGCGAGGGGATCTGCTGGGCGCCCGAGCTCCAGTCGCCCAGGCGCAGGGCCTGCAGGGGCGCGGCACCGCCTGCAGGCGGCAGCGGGGGCGCGGAGGAGGAGGCGGAGGAGGCGGACGCGAAGGAGGAGGAGGACGAAGAGAGGGGGGAGATGGGAGGGCAGGGGGAGGAGGAAAAGGACTAGGAGGAGGAGGAGGAGGAAGAGGAGGAGGAAGAGGAGGAGGAGGAGGAGGAGGAGGAGGAGGAGGAGGAGGATGGAGGATGGAGGAGGAGAAAAGAGGAGGAGAAGGAGAGAGGAGGAGGAGGAGGAGGAGGAGGAGGACGAGGGAGAGAATGGCATAAAGAGGAGGAAGAGGAGGAAAATAAGGAAAGGAGGACGAGGAGGAGGGGGAGGAGGAGGAGAAGGATAAGAACGTAGAGAAAGGGGAGGTGGAAAGGGGGAGAAGGTGGAGGAGGGGGCGGGGGCAGGAGGAGGAGGAGGAGGAGGAGCAGGAGGAAGAGGAGGAGGAGGGGGTGGAGGAGGAGAACGAGGAAGAGGAGAAGGAGGAAGGAGTATGATGAGGAGGCAGAGGAGGGGGAGGAAGAGGAAAAGGAGGAGGAGGACGAGGAGGAGGTGGAGGAGGAGAAGAAACGAGGGCGGAGGAGGAGTTTCAGAGCCTTCTGGCGTGATTGTCGCCTCTTGGCGATTCTCCATCCTCAGGACGCGTTTCAACACTTGCGCGTCGCCGAGGGGATCGTCTCGAACGGGCGTTCGAGGCCCAAGTTAGGGCCCAAAAGCCAGCGGCGGAGGAGGAGGAGGAGGACCAGTGTAAACCCAAAACGCATCAACGATGTTGCAATAAATCCTCTATCGGATTCCCAATCCCTACAACGATGCATTATCACCGAAGGAAATGCCTGGTTGGAAAACAAGAAGCCCAAATATCCTGACCCGTGCCGAAAACACCAATAATGGGACTGCAGAGCTGCGAATCAACGTTACAGTTGCGCCCCGACGATTCAGAACCGTGCCAAAACACCATTCCTGGGATTCCAACACCGCGAATCAGCATGGCTGCTGAGCCTGGTGAACCCTACGCCATGCCAAAACATCAGTTCTGGCACGTCAGCAATAAGTACCCTTGATACTGCTACACGTTATCAAAACGTGTGCGCGGCGCGAGAGCGAGAGCAACGCTTTGAACGAAAAACGATTCAATCCGTGAAACAAGTGCAATGTTTACAACAAATGTGCGCGGCGCTCAAGCCAAAACCGCATTTTGAAGAAGACCCGCCCTCCATCTGCGAAGCTTCTGCAAAGTTTCAGACCGAATGCGCGCGGCACTCAGGCGAGAACGACACGCCGAAAAAAAAAAACGCCCTCCACCCGTGAAGCCCCCGCAGTTTTTTGAAGGGTGCGCGCAGCGATCGGGCGAGCGACGCAGTTTGAAAAAGGACCGCGCTCCATCCACGGAACTCCCGCAACCTCTGAAGACGAATGCGCGTGGCGCTCAGGCGAGAACCACATGTCGAAAAACACCCGACCTCCGCCCGTGAAGCTCTCTCAAACCTTGACGACGAATAACTTCGAAAAGGGCCCATCCTCCATCCGTGAAGCTCTTGCAATGTTTCACGACGAACGCGCGCGGCGCTCAAGCGAAGGATACATTTTGAAAAAAGACCCGCCCTCCATCCGCGAATCTGTTTCAACGTCTTAGTGCCAGGGTGGTGAATGGCGAGGGGGTCCCGGGCGAAACGCCCGGCCCACCCCGCCGACATGTTTCGAGGCGCGACAGGGGTAAGTTAGATATTCACAAGGAAAAAGACATGGAGCAGGAGGGGGGGGAAGGACGAGGGAAGAGATGGATGTGGAGGAGGACAACGGAGAACGAAAAGGAATGGGTGAGATGGGGGACGAGGGGGAGGAGGAGGAGGAGGAGGAGGAGGAGGAGGAGGAGGAGGAGGAGGAGGAGGAGGAGGAGGAGGAGGAGGAGGAGGAGGAGTTGGAAGAGGAGCTCTTCCAGGGCTCTCCCTTGATCGACATCGTCGGTTTGGGGGCCGCCCCGCCGCCCGCCGCGCGCGCGCCCCTCCCCCGGGCATGCCCCCATTTTCAAAGGGGCTCCCGCTCAGGGCACGGGGCGGGCGCGGCGGCGGCGGCGGCCGCTCGGCGCCGCAGCCCGCGGCCGGGCGCGGCTGCAGGGCGCTGCAGTCTCCTCCCTGGCTCCGCCTCGCCAGGCGGTGCTGGTCCTCCTCGCAGCTTCCACAGTTCTCGCATGGCGCTCCAGTCTCCTCCCTGGCTCCTCCCCTCGAGGCGGTGCTGGTCCTCTTCGCAGCTTCTGCGCTTTTCGCGCTTCTCGCACGCGCCTTATCTTGACGCGCATCCTGCCCTGCGTGCTCCTCAAGACCATTTTCGCGAAGTCTGGCCTGATTGGCCACGTGGGCTTACCGCTCGAGCCCAACAGGGTGAAGAGGCTGAACTTCCTGCTGGGTCTGCTGGGCGTGATGACGTACTTGTGGCACCTGGTCTCGATCTTCTGGGTCCTCCCCTGGGAGAGACCCCTACTCGCCATGGATGTCCTGCGCCTCCCGTTGGCTGCCTTCCTACACGTTGTAGCTGTCGACGTCGGGCTTCGGCTTCGCCTCGCCCTCGCGCTGGCACCTGCTCGGGCCCAGCCATTTGCGGGAGATCTCGGCTCGCGCTCGCCACATCGCCGTGCTGGTGCATGCCCTATCTGTCGCACTGTAGCTGTTCGTATCAGGCTCTGCCTTCGCCTCGCACTCCTCGCGCGCTCTCTCCAGGGCCCAGGCTGGTGCCACCGCCGCTGACTTCTGCGCTGAAGCTGGTCGCGTTGGACCCCCCCTTCTTCGCCTTCGCAACCGAACAAGATTCCGATTTCGCAGATCCAGACGTGGCGACGCGGGGGCCCGAGGAGGAAACGCTAATGGTATTGGGCTGCAGCTTGGCCTCCACCACTGCTGCCCTGATTGCAGCACTGTAATTGGTCACGTTTGGCTCCGTCTTTCCCTTCTGGCCCTGGCTGGGCTAAATACTGGGCTCCAGCTTCGCCGTCCCCTTCTCGCACGTACTGGTCCCCGCGCCGTAGCTGATCGCGTCGGGCCCATTCCTCGCCTTCCACTGATCGCCCGCGCAAGTGCTAGAGTCGCGGTTGGGGATGCCGGGCTCTAGCTTCGCCGTTCTCTTCTCGCGCGCCCTGACCCCAGCGCTGTAGATGGTCGCGTCGGGCTCCGTCTTCGCCTTTAACCTCTCACGCGCGCTTTGATCAGGGCGCTGCCTCGGATAGGTAACGAGCTCTGGCTCCTCCTTTCTCTTCTCGAACTCATCCTGTCGGGCTCTATCTTCACCTTCCACTTCGCGCGCGCGCTGCCCACAGTGCCGGGGTCTGAGATGGCGGGCCCCAACTTTGCATTCCCCTTCTCACACTCCACGGCCCCAGCGCCGCGGCAGATCTCGTCGGGCGTTATTTTCGCCCCCCACGTCGCGCACTCGCTGTTCCCAGGGTTGAGGCTCGCCCAAGTCGCAGCGTTGCGGCCGGTCATGTTGGGCTCTTTCTGCACCCACCACTTCTCGCGAGGGCTGGTCGTGGCGCCGTAGCTGCTCATATATGGCTCTTCCGGGTGCGCTTGCATCCACTGCTCGCCCCGCCGCGGTACTTCCGTTAACTCGACCGCTGCGGTCTTCCAGCCCGCCGCCAGCCCCTCCCCGAAGGCGTCGGCCAGGCTGGGGGGCGCTGCCGGCGGAGGCGCGGGCGGGTCTAGCAGCTGCGCGACCTCCACGGCCCGCCGCTGAGCCCGCCGCGCCGCCGTCTGCCGCGGGCGCCCCCGCCGCCGCGCAGCGCGCGCCGACGGAATCTCTGCCGCCGAGCTATGTGTGTCGCTCGCGGCCTCGCCCGTGACCTCGGGCGGCTCGGGCGGCGCGGCGCTGGGCGCCGGCCGCGTTCGAGTCCGCTCGCGACGCCCTCGGCGCCTGGGGGCCCCCTTGCACGGGCCCATCCGCGCGCCGCGCCCGCCGCGGGCAAGACGGCCGCGCGGGGCCTCGCTGGGGGGCCGCCCAGGAAGGGGGAGGAAGGGGGCGAGGAGGAGGAGGCGGATGAGGAGGAGGAGGATGAGGAGGAGGAGAAGGAGGGGGGGAGTAGGAGGAGGAGGAGGAAGAATGGGGAGGGGGGGGCTGGAGAACGGAGGCGAACGGGGGGCGGGGGATCAGCGGCGAGAGGAGGGCGTCGGCGGCGGCCGGGCATTTCTGATGGATCTTCTGCGGCTTTCCTGAAACCTCTGGGGGCATCCACTCGTTGTCCTCCATTTCCCATAGAAGGCTTCCAGAAGTTTCAAAACCAAGACCAAGACCGAGCGTCTCTGTGGAAAGGTGGACAATAATAAAATTGCCGCGGGACCTTGCACTCCTGGCTCTCAGAGACGGGGCACGCGACCCTGATGGGAGGGCGCGCGAGTCGAAGGGCCCGCGGGCACCTCGAGCGATCTGCCTGCGGCACCAGCGCAGAGCGCGACAGAGCTCCAGTGCATGCCAACCGTGATCGTTGACATGCGAATCGCCATGTGCGCACCGTTACACATGATACGTGCTACCGTGCAACCAGCTCAGGTATCGCTCAGCCGTCGCGCCCGCGAGCGTTGCGACGGCGCCGTCCACTCGTCTAACCTGCACCTAGCCGGCTCGCCAGACACGTAGTTCAGGGCGCTCTGGGCCCTGCGCTCGAGGTCGCCCGCCGTCGCGCTCTGCGCCCCTCTCTTGGGGCGCCATCAGGGCGCTGAGCCGCGCGGCGTAGCGCTGGCAGGGCTCGATCTTGAGACCCAGCCCCCTCTCGGGTGCGTCGCGCGCGCGCGCCTTGCCTGCCGCGGCATTTTCTCGAGGGCCCTCTGTTCGTCGCCGACCATCGTGATCTCGTTGAATTTGGTCTGGCGCTCGACCTCGGCATCGTTGCCCTTGCCCCGGTGGCGCCGCAGCGCGGTCATCGCCCATGCGTCGAACGCCCGCGCGCGGGGCTGGCCCGAGGTGCGTCGGCGAGCCTCCGCGCTGAGTTCCTCGGCTTGCTTGTCGACCTGCGCTGACGCGGCCCTGGGCTGCGCCGCGAACGTCTTGGAGGCCTGGAGATCGGCACCAACGCCAAGATAGGGGGCTGCCTCCGCAGGGGGAAGACGATCCTCAATTTCGGTGTTGGTGGCAGTATTTCGGCCACCTTGGAAGGCATAATATTACCGCCATCACCGAGATCGGGATCTCCCTCCCCCGGTGGATGCACGCCGCCGATATTGGTGTTGGCATCAATCTCTTAGCCTGCGAACGTCGGCGGGGTCGAGGGCGCAAGTGACTGCGCAGGCGAGCTCCAAGCTGAAGGTTGTCTTCGCCGTGGTCTCCAGATGCTTCCTCATCTCTCGCGGGGGGTGGGGGGGCCCGCCGCGCGGGCTGCGGGGGCGCGCCGCTCGCTCGGTTCGTCTGCGGGGGCGTCCGGGAGGGCCATGCTGCTGGGGGCGCCCTGGCGCAGGTGGAAGGAAGGCCGCCCTTGGCCTGGCCCGTGGGCGCTCGAGCCTCGCGCGGCGAAAGCACGCGGAAAAACGGGGGGACAAAAAATCATTGCATTCTGGACAGTCGATCTCCTGCTCGCCAGGCACCGCGCCGCGTGCAATCGCCATGTCGCCGCGCGCGCCATCGCGCGCGAATGCCAGACAACGCTCTCGCGGGGCGAGAGCGGGGGCGCGCGCCATGGTCGCATTGGCATTGGGGCCGCCACGAAGGCAACGATAAACAAACGGTGGCAAGCTCGTCGGAGCACGCGGATATCGCGCGCCTGCAGGGCGCGCGGCGAGCAGAAGGAGCGGCCGCAACTACGCCCGCTCCATCCAGAAGAACCTTTTGACAGACTGGCCAGCCTCATCCCCGCCAAGTATAACGTCGGCCCTGATGCCCCCGCCAGGAAGCGGAAGAGCAACCGCGCGAAGTTCTTCGACGTCTGCCCCCAGGACTCGGCCCCGAAATCGACGATCATGAAAAGGTTGCCGCGGTCATCTGGCCATGTCTCCCGCGCGCTGGGCGCCCGTGCTAGTCGCGCCCAACTGGACTTTGTCGTTCACCAGTTGTTGGCGCCAAGGGCGGCCCGAGCAAGCGCGAGCGCTCTCGAAACCAATTGCGCTGGACAGCGCCGCGCCATGCACCTGGCGGCGAAGAGGCCCCCGGAGGAGCGATTGGAACATCCGCGGGCGCGAGATCCGCAATTCAACCTCGACCCCGGCGCGCCTAAGATGGCGCAAGTGGAATGCGCGAGGTTGACGGCGATGCTGAATGCCCTCCGCGCCGTCAGGCTTGCAGATCTCCGTCTTGATACAGCCGCCCCCGATAGGTATCGATGCCTCGCGACGCACTATGATGGCATCTAGCAGCCACGCTTGCTCAGAACGAACGCCATCGGATTCGTGGCGGGGGCGGATATGCTTACACTCCGGTGGAGAGTACAGCTGTGAACAACAAAATGCTTTGACGAAGTGCGGCCGCGGACAGAAAACATTTCCTGTATGAGTACAAATCTATGCGTTCAGCTTCTGTTCGACGTGCCCTCTCTGGAAAGAACGCGCCCTGCCAATGCAACATCGGACCAGAAAACCGCGCTTCTCGGAGAACTCTGCCCTGGATGAGTCGGCCAGCGAATGCACCGCGAACAACCGAATGTGCACCTTTGCGGAGAAAAAACAGCACACTGTCTCCACCTTGTCATGGTTCATGTCCACATGCGGTTGGCGACATGATGTTTTGATGACGACATCCTGGTCTCCCAGTTGATCACCCGCGCTGTCCCTGGGGCAATCGATCACTGAGGCTTTGCTCACGTCGTCGATGTACGTTGACGCAGAGAAATCGATCTCTGATCCGTCCAATGGGGATACAGCGGAGAACGTGGGATCCGCCAGAGCGTCAAAGGCTGGTTCCAAAGATGACAAATACGCTCCGTTGAATACCTGTGAATCGATTGAAAGCCCCTGCAACATGCCCGACCCTGGCTGCAATTTCAGCCGCCCGCCCGGTACGTCAAGGGAGGAAGGGGCGTGATGCACCAGATCAGTCAGCGAAACCCCGCACAATGGATTGGAATGCGTCTCGACTCCCTGGCCATTCAGCAACGATTTCGTGGAAGCGGAAGCAAAAACGTTCGTGGCATCGTGAAACTTCGTGTTGTTACTGATGTTGTTGGCGTTCAGCTTGTGGGTGACACTCTCCCTGGCAATGATGGCCTCCTCCCTCCTGCGTCGGGAAACGCAACCTGCTGCATGATGCGGCACTAGCGGGCGGTTGGAACGCTTGTGCAGCCCACGAAACAAAGATTTTGCAAGCGGTGGCAAGCAACCGACAATGCGCCATCCAGCGCAGTTCGGCTTGTTGCTGTGCTTGGGAACCTTGAAGCTGGTATGAGAACCGACCAGAGCGCTACGATTTGCACATGCAGAAGCCACCGAATGTGTCAGTATTTCTGTTACGCGCGGGGGAAAACGTAGAGAGGGGTCGTGGACAGCAGCCTGCTTGTCGCCAGTGTACACAATCGCAAGACTGAGAGCCATAAATCAAAGTTCGTTGGGCACCTCTCCTTGCGGCACAGACTTGCGGCATGCAGACTAACGTACTTCATGGCGGAGTAGGTGGAGAAGCACACCCCCTCTCCAAAGTGCTGTGCGGTCGGGCGCTCCTTTGCTCGGTTAGCTTGCGCACGAACGTTTTCCAAACATATTTATTCAGCTGAACAGATCTCCAGGACCTCCTTTCGGAGCGACATCATCTGACCAATCTGCTTTGCCAGGATAGACGGCACGCCACATGTCTGCTACGCGTCGCTTAACCCACAACGCATTGAACTCTTCAGTGAATAGCGTTCAATGTCACGATGCTTGTGCGCATGCGAAGCAGGCCGCGTTGTGCGGAACAGCTGTGCGATTCCCCGCCATGCGTCGAACCACACACGAGATCCCCTCGCCGCGACATTACAACCAACAAACACACACAAACCACAACAACTATGGTCTCGGCTCTACGCTGGACTGCTTCTTCCCGTGCGGCAGTAAATGAACGAATGGCCGGAGAATGTGGGCGAGAAGATTGAGTAAAACGACGCTGGGCAATAATGCCAAGATCATCCCGCCGGAGAAGAATATCACTCCACGGAGTGTTCGGCTGTTTTGCGAGATGTTCCAGGAATTCCTCGAGAAGGGCGGAGGACGAGGAGCGAACATAGGATGAGGAAGGAGAAGAGAAGCGAAATGTCGAGAATGGGGAGATGAATGCAAGGGTGGAAGAAGATGAAAAAAACAGAAGAGATGGAACGGGTCGGAGGAGGGCGGAGGATATGGATGGGGCAAAAAAGGGCGCGGAGGAGGACGATAACGAAGAGAGAGCAGGAGAGAGAGGATGATGATGACGATGACGATGATGATGAAGATAATGGTGGGGACGATGATGCGGATGAGCATGGTGATGATGATGATCATGGTTCGGATGGTGATACTGATCATGGTGATGATGCAGATGTTGCTGATGCCGGTGATGACGATAATGCTGATGATCATCATGATGGTGATGATGCTGGAAATGATCCACGCGTCTAAGAGGTCCGGAACTCCCAGCTCATACTGCCCCTCGGACCGAAGCGTTGCCCTTTGGCCCTGCGGCGGCAAGCATGGTCTCGTGCCCAAGGCACCCTCGCAAATTCAGCTGAGTTCCTACAAACCTCCCACCGCCCTGGCCGAAGCAAGCTGTGGTCACGGCATTCGAGCAGTCACGGCGACTCAACCCGCAGAAGCACACACGCGCCACAGCAGAGCAACACAGTCATGGTGATGAAGATGATGCTGATGATGACGATGGTGATGGTGATGATGATGATGCTGATGATGATGACGACGACGATGAAGCTGATGATGATGGTGATGGTGATGACGATGATGACGATGATGATGTGGATGATGATGATGATGATGATGATGATGATGATGATGCTGATGCTGATGCTGATGCTGATGCTGATGCTGATGCTGATGCTGATGATGCTGATGATGATGCTGATGATGATGATGATGATGATGAAGCAGGAGGAGGGAGTAGGAGGAGGATACGCAGCGCCGCCTGCAATCACAAGACCCTGCAAGATCGTGGCCGAACCAGCCCAGCGCATCCCTTGTGCCCGCTGGCGCCAATCTGCATGCACGGATCCCTGGGTATGGTAGCGCAGCAGTCGCAACGGGTACGGTATCAAGACTGCAAGGTCTGCCGCCGACCAGCCTGAGCCCTGCGCATCTCCAGCGGAGGCGGGACGGAGCCAGAGGACGCACATTCATCCTCCTCCTCCTCCTCGTCCTCCGCCTCCTCCTCCTCCTCCTCCTTCCCCTCCTCGTTCTCCTCCGCCTCCGCCTCCAACTCCGCCTCCAACGCATTATCCTCCTCCTCCTCCTCCTCAAACTCATCCCACCTGCCCCCTCATCCCCGTCGCTGTCCTCACCCTCGTCCTCCTCGCCATCCCAGTCCTCACCCTCATCCTCATCCTCATCCTCATCCTCATCCTCATCCTCATCCTCATCATTCCCCCCATCCTCATCTCATCCTCATCTCGTCCTCATCCTCATCTTATCCTCATCCTCATCCTCATCCTCATCCTCATCTCATCCTCGTCCTCATCCTCATCCTCATCCTCATCCTCATCCTCATCTCATCCTCGTCCTCATCCTCGTCCTCATCCCCCCATGTGTCGCCTCTTCGTCCCAGTCCCCGCCCTCGTCTCCCCGCCCCTGCCGCCCCCACAATTCCCCCTGCCCCAGTTGCCGCTCCCCACAATTCCATTTCCTGCCCTCCCTCCTCCTCCTCCTCCTCCTCTTCTCCTCCCTCCTCCTCCTCCTCCTCCTCCTCCTCCTCTTCCTCCCCCCCTCCTCCTCCCTCCTCCTCCTCCTCCTCCTCCTCTCATCCTCATCCGCCTTCCTCCTCCTCCTCCTCCTCCTCCTCCTCCTCCTCTCCTCCTGCCTCCTCGTCCTCCCCTTTCTTCCCAGTCCTCTCCCCCTCTCCCTGTCCCTTACATCTCCCCTCGCCAGCATCCCCCTCTCTCCTCCTCTTCACCCCGCTCCTCCGCCCCCTCCTGCTCCTGCTTCTCCTTCTGAGCCTCGGCCTTGCCCATCTCGGCGGTGGACAAACCTCCCTTTAGTAACCCCCCCCTTAGTGAAAGCGGCCTAGGACCGAAACCGACGGACCTGGACCCGCAAACATGACGGCCGCGACGCCCTCTCGCGAACCGAAAAACGGCCAATTCGCTAATCGACGTGTCAGGGTAGGAGGTCTGTCCACCCCCGACTGTCCCTCTACAGGGGGGAGATTCAAAAAAATAATAGTCGCCAGGGAACTATTTTTGGAACATTTGTTTGACCATTGGGGGGTATTTTTTGCCAGTGTTCATAACTTTTCGCCCAGGATCGGCTTGTGGAGGGACAGGCCAGACTCAAATCCCTGCCGAGCGTGGCGGCAGGGAGGACCTCGGCCGTGGGCCCTGTGGTGAGGGCTCTTCATATTACAATCGGACTCGATTGGACAGGACACGCGAGAGGGCACAAGACCCTTCCGAGGGCCACATTGCCACAGAACTGCAGGAGGCATCGGTCACGAGGCACAGGACACGAAGGTACCCTCGATTTGGCAGGGTCGACCTACTAATCCGGGCCGCCTGTATGTCGCGGGATTTGCTTGTGGCCTAGGCCCACCGTGGCCAGACAAGCCCCCTTGTTCCTTCTGTGGCGTTCCTTCTGGTAGTACAGTCGGGGCCAAGAAGAAGGAACCCTTTTCGTTGGGGAGGGGCTCCGCGTTCCTTAAGTGCTTCACAGCTTGCCTCAGGCTTTCCTTATGTTTTCGACAGGAAATCGAACGTTAACTTATGGAAAATAGGGGCCTCGTTCCTTATTTAGGGTTCCTTGGGTCAACGCCCCGACTGTACCTCGACTGCACGCGGCGCCCGCGATCGGGTCGCCGGCAGCCACCGCGCCACCCGAGCCTCCCCGTGTGGGAAGCGTCGTGGGCACGCCTGGCGCGCGGGCCGCCGCGGAAGCGGCGCGCCTCGTCCTCGTCCTCGTCGTCGTCGTCGTCGTCGTCGTCGTCGTCGTCGTCGTCGTTCGTCGTCGTCGTCGTCGTCGTCGTCGTCGTCGTCGTCGTCGTCGTCGGGCAGGCGGGCGGCGCCATATCGGCCCGCGCGCTGGCCTCTGATGTCCAGCGCTGCTGTCCAGCGTTCGTCTCGAGCGTCCTCTCCGACGGTTTCCACGTCTGCACTAGCATCCTGACTCCAGGCTCGAAAAAGTGGCATGGGATGCACAGAAACATACTAATACTATGTGTCCGCCTTGGAGGCGCGCGTCCGACCCGAACATATAGTATACCCATCTTGTAGTATATCGTTTCCCGAGCGGTGTGGCCAGAAAGCGCCCGCCACGACGCATATACTACAAGATTTCTCGGTGCGCGCGTCGCCCCTGGGGGGGCGACGCACATATAGTATAAGTATGTTGGGGTGTTGCCGATGACTCCAGGCTCGAAAAAGTGGCAGGCGCGAGAGCGAGGAGGAGCAGCAGAAACGTCAGCACATTTTCTGGGGCGCTCTCCGCGCTATTCTCGCGCGAGCATCTTTTGGCTCGGAGAGGATTCGTGAGCTGCGCTCGTGCACGGCAAACGTTGACAGTTGGCCGCCCCGTGCCGTTGCGGGGGAAACCTTCGGACCGAATAATACAAGCCCGAGGCATGGCTATTGAAAAAAGGCGCCCAAAAGTATCGGCGCCTCGCGGGCATCCTGGCACTGACAGGTGCTGTGGCGGCCGCTCATTCACGCAGCGCGCCCACTCACCTCGCTGAGCAGGTGGGCGCCGTGACAGCGCCGGATGCAGCCGGAAGCGTGCAGGGAGGGAAAACGAAAGACCAAAAAAGGCACGCACACAAACGCACACGCACACGCACACACACACACACACACACACACGCGCACACAAACGCACGCACGCACGCACGCACGCACGCACGCACGCACGCACGCACGCACGCACGCACGCATACACATATACACACACGCACGCACGCACGCACGCATGCCGCACGCGTATACTTGCTGGCGTCGCGGCCACGCGCGCGGCGGCGCGGCGCCGTGAACGTTGAGCTGAGAAGGGATCGCGGACTGGCTCAGCTTTCGCAGCACACACACACGACAACATACGACACACGAGACAGACTCCCCTGAGATCCGACGTTGCGAAAACATGCAGCATCGCGAAAAAACACCACAGGACCCCTAGACCCCACCTTTCAACGCCATTTTCCGAGCTGGATCGATATGTAAGGGTCCCAGGGCCCGAAGCGGGGCGAAAACGCCCAGTGTGAAAAAAATGCCACGCCAGGATTTCCGGGGACGCCACCGTAGCGAGAGCTAGAACAGGCCGCCACACGAGACCCCCCCACCCACACACACACACACACCTTTAAGTCGGCGGCGCAGAGGTGCCTCAGATGCGGCTGGCAGGTGGAGGTGCCAATCGCGAACGAACTCAATCAAACGCGCCATGAAGAAAGAATCCCGTCGCGGCCATGCAAAGTGGTTGTGGCAAACCGGGAGGCGCGGTAAAGCCAAAGTGCATACACACACACACTCACACACACATACACACGCACACACACACACACACACACGCGCACACACACAAACATACACCTACACACAAGCGCGAACACACGACCAAAATAACATTTCTTGGCCACACGCAGCCCAAAAAAGGCCGGCCCCAGAAACCCCGACCACGCCCGCGCGGACCTCCCTTGGGAGCGAGGGGGGAAGCCAGGAGAAGACCACCAGCTTCTCCTCCTCCTCCCCCTCATCATCATCATCATCATCATCATTATCACCCACCCGCTCCTCCTTCTCCTCCTCCTCCTCCTCCTCCTCCTCCTCTTCACCCTCCCGCTCCTCCTCCTCCTCCTCCTCCTCCTCCTCCTCCGCCTCCTCCTCCTGATCCTCCTCCTCCTCCTCCTGCCTCCTCCTCCTCCATTTCCTCCTCTTTTTCATCCTCCATTTTCATCCTCCTCCTCCTCGTCCTCGTCCTCGTCCTCCTCCTCCTCCTCCTCCTCCTCCTCCTCCTCCTCCTCCTCCTCCTCCTCCTCCTGGGGCGCTCATAGGGGGCGTGATCCTCTACTTACAGGGGAGCCCCAAAAAGGAAGAAAAAGAGACGACTATCCTCGCGACGCATCTGGCCACGAGGCCCGCTTTGGAGGAAGCTCGTCTCGCTCGAGACGATCCAGGGCAGCTTTCCCTGCTTCCGTCGGAGACATGCAAACCTTACTGAGGGAGAGGAATTTAATTTCCCCTGACCCTCCACACGTGGTGTACCACCACAGCCCCCTGGTGTCACGGAGGTGGTGGCTGTCATGGATCTGGGCTGGGCGGCCTAGACAGGATGCACGGAACCACTCGAGCTTAGGGGGGGCCCGAGTGGGGGACTGGAGGCAGACCACGCACCGCAATCCTCCTCGCCACGGGATGGGCCTGTGGGAGGTAGTTGCTGCCGCGGCAGCGGTCTCAACTCTCTTGTCGAGTCGCTTCGCTCGCTGGGCCGCAATTCGTTCGGCAAAAGAAGGCCCAGGGTTTGCCTTGGCGTCTTCAGCTCGGGTCTTGGCCTCTTCGGGGCCGACCGTGGGGAGATGTTTAGCAACCTTAAAAGCCAAGGCATCTAGGGCGGCGAGGTCGGCGAGAGCCTGGGGGGGGAGCGCGGCCTCCTTCGCGCCGAGGTCGGCCGCAAAATCGGCCGCCTCATTCGCCGCAAAATCGTCTTCGCTCACGAGGCGCCCGATATCAGCACGGGACATGTGCGATTTAACTTTACAGAACTCGGGGTCCCCTGGTGCTCCTGGGCAGCGGCCCAAAAGCGGGCCCAGGCTGCCGAATTCGAGGGGCTGACGTGCCGGGGGCCCCGAGCTATGCCATCTATAATGTATTTGGCATCTATGACACATTTCCCTGGACCTGATGTGTGGCGCAGGGCTTGGGTCACAGCTTCTAGCTCAGCGAGCGGGACCGTGTGGGAGCGGCCCACCAGGGGGGCCCCAGGCTTTCCCGAGGACTTGCCCTTGGCAGGCCACCACGAAACCCCACCCGCAGCGCCGACACCTTACGTCCGAGGAAAGCTCCCCCCCCCACTGCCGTCAGAGCTTACCACTGCTTGGGGAAGTAGCTGGAACCGCTGTTGGTGCCGGAGGGCCCCGTCGGAGGAGAACCGAAAGTCGGACCAATGTTCACATATTCTGCGCGCCCAGCCTAGGGGCACCAGTCCGCGCGACCAGAAGCACGGGTAATCTTCATGCTCGGCAGCGGCTTGGCCAGCCAGGTCGAGGGCCGTGCCTTCAGACGCCTGAAGTTGAGAGCATCCCCACTGCTGGTGGAAAATGGTCTCGGGCTGGCCGCGCCGCTTGCACTTCCGCTTTTCTTCATCATCTGGAAACCTTCGAGCCCCTGGCCAGAGAGCCTCCGTGGCCAGGAGTTCCAGGAAACTAGCATGCCCAGGCATGTTCTTTCGGCGGTAGGTCCGACACATCCTCCCGAGGACAGTCAAATCAGCTCCTTCCTCAAGGCCTTTCCCGCAGAAGTGCTTGCACGCGTGCTCTTGCCAAATGCGGAGCTCGAAAGTGGCCTCCAGCTCCGAGACAACGCAGCGCGTCCAGCCAGCAGGGGAGCCTGAGAGGGTCTCGAGGTAGAAGGGGGCGCTGTCGACGGGAGCTTCTCCAGGGATAAGATAAAAGGTATCGCCAGCGTAGTCGGCCCAGGCCCATGGCAACTTGGGATCCCAGTTGGCCTGTAGGAGGGCGGTGATAACGGCCCCGATGGAACGTCGGACCTCGTTCCAGGGACTAGCGGCCGCACGCGCGGCGGCTAGACACTTCTTCCACGCAGCCTCCAGGGCCACTCTTTCTTGCATCATCTTGGGGAGGATGGCGATCCAGGTCTTCAAGAGGTCCACGCGCCCGAAGAAAAGCGGGTCTCCTTTTTTCCCTGGTCCTAGCCTAAGAGCGAGCGCGGCGCATCCCCCTGGCCTCTGCTTACCCGAGATGGAGGCCATGGTGGCCCTGAGGTCCTTGAGCACCGTGGGGGGCCCACCTTGTCCAGCGAGGCCCCGCGGGGCCTGAGGTTTGACACCCGTGGGCCTCAACTTGGATGCCTTCTTTTCAACCTTGAGGATGCCTCTAACTCGCTTGGCTCGGACTTTGGCTTTCTTCATCCTTGCTCCGACTACCGTGGTCGAGCGTCTCTGAGACGAAAAATCGAGGCCGGGGTCGCGAGCCTTGGTAACTGCCTGCAGCTCGACGCCCGCATCCTTGAGGCCTTGGTGAATCTGCTTGAGCAGGTCCCCTGAACTGGCGAGCACCTGCGATTTGGGCGAAAGCTTCAAACCTCTGGATCGCATAACTTGGACTAGCGCCTTGGTTCCAGAAGTGGTTAGGTTGCGGACGATGGGCCTGGTGCCTCTGAACTGCATGCAAATGTCATCCACCCACGTACTGAGCTCGAGGGGTCGGTACATAGCATGTGTCGTCTCCAGCACGTCGTATAGGTAGGCCCAAGTCCAAGCAACTGACTGAGGGCAACTTTGCAAAATGGAGCGATCTACTGTCAGAAAGTCAGAGGCCTCTGGTCCGACGGTTAGGACTCGGTCAGCTGGGTGCACAGCCATGCCTAAGTACATGATACCGATGGGGCAATCCAGCTGCTTCCCAAGACAATAAAACCAGGAGGGCGCCAAGGTGTCGAAAAACTTTTCGGCGCCCAGGAGCGCCAGGGACCAATCGCAATGTATCCAGGAGGCAGCTTCGGCTCGGGCGAGGCGTTTCAGGGCAGCACGAAGGGGATCGGAACCTTTGACTGCAGCGTCCCAGAAGCCAGCGCGTGATTTTTCCCATTGGGAGATTGGGTCCTTCCGAAGGCGGCTCCAAACACGGTAAAGGCTCTGGGCACGGGTAATAGGGCGGTCTCCTTCACCTGTGGGCTTGGGGTGCATGCCTGCCTCGTCGGGTAAAACTTGGGCTGGCCATCTGCACTCCGCCTCGATCGACGCAAGCAAGTCGAGCAGGGAAGTTTGGCCATCCTCTGGGAGATCTGCCCACAGCTGCGGGTGCCACCGGCATGCTCCTTTGCCCATGCTGGCAGGGAAGCACTTGTGTACATTTAAAAGATGTTGAAGATCGAGCGGCGGCAAGTCGCGCATCGCCTCGAGCGCCTCGTCACGAAAGGTTTGCCACCAGTCCTGTTCAACGGCCCGTCCTCGCCTCTGTGGATCAGTCCAAAGAGATTTCCACCTGTGGGCCTTGACCTTCAGCGATTCACTGGCTTCCCAGAGTGGGGCCCCAGAGTCGCCCGCTTCGATTTTGGGCGTGGGCTCCGGCAGGCCCCAGGTCCTGGTGTGGTAATGAGCCCATTTGGCCCCTCCTTTTAGGCTCTCCTGGAGCCACTCCTGGAATCCTTTCTTCTTGGCCTGGTAGGCGAGCTTGTCGGCCTGGTCCCGAAGACACTTGCAGAGCCGAGCCGTGGTCCAAGCCCCCTCGAGGTCTAGGTCGTGGATGTTCTCAGCCCCCAGCAGGAACTCCTGCAAAACCTCCTGGGCCTCCGAGGGGGTCATGCAGGGTGCAGCCCAGGTAACCTTGGAGTGTATGAGGGACCCCAAGTGGAGCCTCCTGCGCTTTTTGCCCTCTGAGTCCTCCCCGACGGTAGCCCCGATGAGGTCCTGAAAGCGCGCGACCATCGTCTTCCAAAAGGCAAGCTGCTCGATGCTGCCTGCTCGCGACGATGGCCCTGCAGGCGCTGCTAGCTTGGTGGCGAGCTGTAGCGCCCACCCTCGATGGCGGTGAACAGGCCGAGCAGGGTCGCTGTGCTTAGAAAGATGC